GGTAGTGTCTTCAACGACACGAAGACACTGAAGCTGACAGAAGCAAGGTATTTAGTGTCTCCAACGACACAAAGACACTGAAGCTGATTGAAGCGATGTAGGTAGTGTCTTCAACGACACAAAGACGCTATAGCTGATAGAAGCGATGTAGGTAGTGTCTTCAACGACACGAAGACACTGAAGCTGATAGAGTCAAGGTAGGTAGTGTCTTCAACGACACGCAGACACTGAAGCTGATAGAAGCAAGGTATTTAGTGTCTCCAACGACACAAAAGACACTGAAGTTGATAGAAGCGATGTAGGTAGTGTCTTCAACGACACGAAGACGCTGAAGCTGATAGAGTCAAGGTAGGTAGTGTCTCCAACGACACAAAGACACTGAAGCTGATAGAGGCAAGGTAGGTAGTGTCTTCAACGACACGAAGACACTGAAGCTGAAAGAAGCAAGGTATATAGTGTCTCCAACGACACAAAGACACTGAAGCTGATTGAAGCGATGTAGGTAGTGTCTTCAACGACACGAAGACGCTGAAGCTGATAGAAGCAAGGTAGGTAGTGTCTTCAACGACACAAAGACGCTATAGCTGATAGAAGCGATGTAGGTAGTGTCTTCAACGACACGAAGACGCTGAAGCTGATAGAGTCAAGGTAGGTAGTGTCTTCAACGACACGCAGACACTGAAGCTGATAGAAGCAAGGTATTTAGTGTATCCAACGACACAAAGACACCTGAAGCCGATAGAAGCGATGTAGGTAGTGTCTTCAACGACACGAAGACGCTGAAGCTGATAGAAGCAAGGTAGGTAGTGTCTTCAACGACACAAAGACGCTATAGCTGATAGAAGCGAGGTAGGTAGTGTCTTCAACGACATGAAGACACGGAAGCTGATAGAAGCAAGGTAGGTAGTGTCCTAACTACACAAAGACGCTGAAGCTGATATATGCAAAGCAGGTGAGTATCTTCAACGACACAAAGACGCTATAGCTGATAGAAGCGAGGTAGGTAGTGTCTTCAACGACACGAAGACACTGAAGCTGATAGAAGCAAGGTATTTAGTGTATCCAACGACACAAAGACACTGAAGCTGATAGAAGCGATGTAGGTAGTGTCTTCAACGACACAAAGACGCTGAAGCTGATAGAAGCAAGGTAGGTAGTGTCTTCAACGACACAAAGACGCTATAGCTGATAGAAGCGAGGTAGGTAGTGTCTTCAACGACACGAAGACACTGGAAGCTGATAGGAAGCAAAGGTAGGTAGTGTCTCCAACTACACAAAGACGCTGAAGCTGATATATGCAAAGTAGGTAGTATCTTCAACGACACAAAGACGCTATAGCTGATAGAAGCGAGGTAGGTAGTGTCTTCAACGACACGAAGACACGGAAGCTGATAGAAGCAAGGTAGGTAGTGTCTTCAACGACACGAAGACGCTGAAGCTGATAGAAGCAAGTTAGGTAGTGCCTCCAACGACACGAAGACGCTGAAGCTGATAGAGTCAAGGTAGGTAGTGTCTTCAACGACACAAAGACACTGAAGCTGATAGAGTCAAGGTAGTAGTGTCTTCACCGCACGAAGACACTGAGCTGATAGAAGCAAGGTATTTAGTGTCTCCAACGACACGAAGGCACTGGAAGCTGATAGAAGCGATGAAGGTAGTGTCTTCAACGACACGTAGACGCTGAAGCTGATAGAAGCAAGGTAGGTTGTGTCTTCAACGACACAAAGACGCTATAGCTGATAGACGCGATGTAAGGTGGGTAGTGTCTTCAACGACACGAAGACACTGGAAGCTGATAGAAGCAAAGTAGGTAGTGTCTCCAACGACACAAAAGACACTGAAGCTGATAGAGGCAAGCAGTAGGTAGTGTCTTCAACGACACGAAGACACTGAGGCTGAAAGAAGCAAGGCATTTAGTGTCTCCAACGACACAAAGACACTGAAGCTGATTGAAGCGATGTAGGTAGCGTCTTCAACGACACGAAGACGCCTAGCTAATAGAAGCGATGTAGGTAGTGTCTTCAACGACACGAAGACACTGAAGCCGATAGAGTCAAGGTAGGTAGTGTCTTCAACGACACGCAGACACTGAAGCTGATAGGAAGCAAGGTATTTAGTGTCTCCAATGACACAAAAAGACACTGAAGCTGATAGAAGCGATGTAGGTAGTGTCTTCAACGACACGAAGACGCTGAAGCTGATAGAGTCAAGGTAGGTAGTGTCTCCAACGACACAAAGACACCGAAGCCGATAGAGTCAAGGTAGGTAGTGTCTTCAACGACACGAAGACGCTGAAGCTATTGATAGAGTCAAGGTAGGTAGTGTCTTCAACGACACAAAGACGCTATAGCTGATAGAAGCGATGTAGGTAGTGTCTTCAACGACACGAAGACGCTGAAGCTGATAGAGTCAAGGTAGGTAGTGTCTTCAACGACACGAAGACACTGAAGCTGATAGAAGCAAGGCATTTAGTGTATCCAACGACACAAAGACACTGGAAGCTGATAGAAGCGATGTAGGTAGTGTCTTCAACGACACAAAGACGCTGAAGCTGATAGAGTCAAGGTAGGTAGTGTCTTCAACGACACAAAAGACGCTATAGCTGATAGAAGCGAGGTAGGTAGTGTCTTCAACGACACGAAGACACGGAAGCTGATAGAAGCAAGGTAGGTAGTGTCTCCAATGACACAAAGACGCTGAAGCTGATATAAGCAAAGCAGGTAGTATCTTCAACGACACAAAGACGCTATAGCTGATAGAAGCGAGGGTAGGTAGTGTCTTCAACGACACGAAGACACGGAAGCTGATAGAAGCAAGGTAGGTAGTGTCTTCAACGACACGAAGACGCTGAAGCTGATAGAAGCAAGTTAGGTAGTGTCTCCAACGACACGAAGACGCTGAAGCTGATAGAGTCAAGGTAGGTAGTGTCTTCAACGACACAAAAGACACTGAAGCTGATAGAGTCAAAGGTAGTAGTGTCTTCACCGCACGAAGACACTGGAGCTGATAGAAGCAAGGTATTTAGTGTCTCCAACGACACGAAGGCACTGAAGCCGATAGAAGCGATGAAGGTAGTGTCTTCAACGACACGTAGACGCTGAAGCCGATAGAAGCAAGGTAGGTTGTGTCTTCAACGACACAAAGACGCTATAGCCGCTAGAAGCGATGTAGGTAGTGTCTTCAACGACACGAAGACACCGAAGCTGATAGAGTCAAGGTAGGTAGTGTCTTCAACGACACGAAGACACTGAAGCTGATAGAAGCAAGGTATTTAGTGTATCCAACGACACAAAGACACTGAAGCTGATAGAAGCGATGTAGGTAGTGTCTTCAACGACACGAAGACGCTGAAGCTGATAGAAGCAAGGTAGGTAGTGTCTTCAACGACACAAAGACGCTATAGCTGATAGAAGCGATGTAGGTAGTGTCTTCAACGACACGAAGACGCTGAAGCTGATAGAGTCAAGGTAGGTAGTGTCTTCAACGACACGAAGACACTGAAGCTGATAGAAGCAAGGTATTTAGTGTATCCAACGACACAAAGACACTGAAGCTGATAGAAGCGATGTAGGGGTAGTGTCTTCAACGACACAAAGACGCTAAAGCTGATAGAAGCAAGGTAGGTAGTGTCTTCAACGACACAAAGACGCTATAGCTGATAGAAGCAAGTGGGTAGTGTCTTCAACGACACGAAGACACGGAAGCTGATAGAAGCAAAGTAGGTAGTGTCTTCAACTACACAAAGACACTGAAGCTGATAGAGGCAGCAAGGTAGGTAGTGTCTTCAACGACACGAAGACACTGAAGCTGAAAGAAGCAAGGTATTTAGTGTCTCCAACGACACAAAGACACTGGAAGCTGATTGAAGCGATGTAGGTAGTGTCTTCAACGACACAAAGACGCTATAGCTGATAGAAGCGATGTAGGTAGTGTCTTCAACGACACGAAGACACTGAAGCTGATAGAGTCAAGGTAGGTAGTGTCTTCAACGACACGCAGACACTGAAGCTGATAGAAGCAAGGTATTTAGTGTCTCCAACGACACAAAGACACTGAAGCTTATAGAAGCGATGTAGGTAGTGTCTTCAACGACACGAAGACGCTGAAGCTGATAGAGTCAAGGTAGGTAGTGTCTCCAACGACACAAAGACACTGGAAGCTGATAGAGTCAAGGTAGGTAGTGTCTTCAACGACACGAAGACACTGAAGCTGAAAGAAGCAAGGTATATAGTGTATCCAACGACAAAAGACACTGAAGCTGATTGAAGCGATGTAGGTAGTGTCTTCAACGACACGAAGACGCTGAAGCTGATAGAAGCAAGGTAGGTAGTGTCTTCAACGACACAAAGACGCTACAGCTGATAGAAGCGATGTAGGTAGTGTCTTCAACGACAATGAAGACGCTGAAGCTGATAGAGTCAGGTAGGTAGTGTCTTCAACGACACGAAGACACTGAAGCTGATAGAAGCAAGGCATTTAGTGTATCCAACGACACAAAGACACTGAAGCTGATAGAAGCGATGTAGGTAGTGTCTTCAACGACACAAAGACGCTGAAGCTGATAGAAGCAAGGTAGGTAGTGTCTTCAACGACACAAAGACGCTATAGCTGATAGAAGCGAGGTAGGTAGTGTCTTCAACGACACGAAGACACGGAAGCCTGATAGAAGCAAGGTAGGTAGTGTCTCCAACTACACAAAGACGCTGAAGCTGATATATGCAAAGTAGGTAGTATCTTCAACGACACAAAGACGCTATAGCTGATAGAAGCGAGGGTAGGTAGTGTCTTCAACGACACGAAGACACGGAAGCTGATAGAAGCAAGGGTAGGTAGTGTCTTCAACGACACGAAGACGCTGAAGCTGATAGAAGCAAGTTAGGTAGTGCCTCCAACGACACGAAGACGCTGAAGCTGATAGAGTCAAGGTAGGTAGTGTCTTCAACGACACAAAGACACTGAAGCTGATAGAGTCAAGGTAGTAGTGTCTTCACCGCACGAAGACACTGGAGCTGATAGAAGCAAGGTATTTAGTGTCTCCAACGACACGAAGGCACCGGAAGCTGATAGAAGCGATGAAGGTAGTGTCTTCAACGACACGCAGACGCTGAAGCCGATAGAAGCAAGGTAGGTTGTGTCTTCAACGACACAAAAGACGCCATAGCTGATAGAAGCGATGTAGGTAGTGTCTTCAACGACACGAAGACACTGAAGCTGATAGAGTCAAGGTAGGTAGTGTCTTCAACGACACGAAGACACTGAAGCTGATAGAAGCAAGGTATTTAGTGTATCCAACGACACAAAGACACTGGAAGCTGATAGAAGCGATGTAGGTAGTGTCTTCAACGACACGAAGACGCTGAAGCTGATAGAAGCAAGGCAGGTAGTGTGTCTTCAACGACACAAAGACGCTATAGCTGATAGAAGCGATGTAGGTAGTGTCTTCAACGACACGAAGACACTGAAGCTGATAGAGTCAGGTAGGTAGTGTCTTCAACGACACGAAGACACTGAAGCTGATAGAAGCAAGGCATTTAGTGTATCCAACGACACAAAGACACTGGAAGCTGAAAGAAGCGATGTAGGTAGTGTCTTCAACGACACAAAGACGCTAAAGCTGATAGAAGCAAGGTAGGTAGTGTCTTCAACGACACAAAGACGCTATAGCTGATAGAAGCGAGGTAGGTAGTGTCTTCAACGACACGAAGACACGGAAGCTGATAGAAGCAAAGTAGGTAGTGTCTCCAACGACACAAAGAGACACTGAAGCTGATAGAGGCAAGGTAGGTAGTGTCTTCAACGACACGAAGACACTGAAGCTGAAAGAAGCAAGGTATTTAGGTGTCTCCAACGACACAAACACACTGAAGCTGATTGAAGCGATGTAGGTAGTGTCTTCAACGACACAAAGACGCTATAGCTGATAGAAGCGATGTAGGTAGTGTCTTCAACGACACACGAAGACACTGAAGCTGATAGAGTCAAGGTAGGTAGTGTCTTCAACGACACACAAAGACACTGAAGCTGATAGAAGCAAGGCATTTAGTGTCTCCAACGACACAAAGACACTGAAGCTGATAGAAGCGATGTGGGTAGTGTCTTCAACGACACGAAGACGCTGAAGCTGATAGAGTCAAGGTAGGTAGTGTCTCCAACGACACAAAAGACACTGAAGCTGATAGAGTCAAGGTAGGTAGTGTCTTCAACGACACGAAGACACTGAAGCTGAAAGAAGCAAGGCATATAGTGTCTCCAACGACACAAAGACACTGAAGCTGATTGAAGCGATGTAGGTAGTGTCTTCAACGACACGAAGACACGGAAGCTGATAGAAGCAAGGTGGGTAGTGTCTCCAACTACACAAAGACACTGAAGCTGATAGAAGCGATGTAGGTAGTGTCTTCAACGACACAAAGACGCTAAAGCTGATAGAAGCAAGTTAGGTAGTGTCTTCAACGACACAAAGACGCTATAGCTGATAGAAGCGAGGGTAGGTAGTGTCTTCAACGACACGAAGACACGGAAGCTGATAGAAGCAAAGTAGGTAGTGTCTCCAACGACACAAAGACACCGAAGCTGATAGAGGCAAGGTAGGTAGTGTCTTCAACGACACGAAGACACTGAAGCTGAAAGAAGCAAGGTATTTAGTGTCTCCAACGACACAAACACACTGAAGCTGATTGAAGCGATGTAGGTAGTGTCTTCAACGACACAAAGACGCTATAGCTGATAGAAGCGATGTAGGTAGTGTCTTCAACGACACGAAGACACTGAAGCTGATAGAGTCAAGGTAGGTAGTGTCTTCAACGACACAAAGACACTGAAGCTGATAGAAGCAAGGGTTTTAGTGTCTCCAACGACACAAAGACACACTGAAGCTGATAGAAGCGATGTAGGTAGTGTCTTCAACGACACGAAGACGCTGAAGCTGATAGAGTCAAGGTAGGTAGTGTCTCCAACGACACAAAGACACTGAAGCTGATAGAGTCAAGGTAGGTAGTGTCTTCAACGACACGAAGACACTGAAGCTGAAAGAAGCAAGGTATATAGTGTCTCCAACGACACAAAGAGACACTGAAGCTGATTGAAGCGATGTAGGTAGTGTCTTCAACGACACGAAGACACGGAAGCTGATAGAAACAAGGTAGGTAGTGTCTCCAACTACACAAAAGACACTGAAGCTGATAGAAGCGATGTAGGTAGTGTCTTCAACGACACAAAGACGCTAAAGCTGATAGAAGCAAGGTAGGTAGTGTCTTCAACGACACAAAGACGCTATAGCTGATAGAAGCGAGGTAGGTAGTGTCTTCAACGACACGAAGACACGGAAGCTGATAGAAGCAAAGTAGGTAGTGTCTCCAACGACACAAAGACACTGAAGCTGATAGAGGCAAGGTAGGTAGTGTCTTCAACGACACGAAGACACTGAAGCATACAGAAGCAAGGTATTTAGTGTCTCCAACGACACAAAGACACTGAAGCTGATTGAAGCGATGTAGGTAGTGTCTTCAACGACACAAAGACGCTATAGCTGATAGAAGCGATGTAGGTAGTGTCTTCAACGACACGAAGACACTGAAGCTGATAGAGTCAAGGTAGGTAGTGTCTTCAACGACACGCAGACACTGAAGCTGATAGAAGCAAGGTATGTAGTGTCTCCAACGACACAAAGACACTGAAGCTGATAGAAGCGATGTAGGTAGTGTCTTCAACGACACGAAGACGCTGAAGCTGATAGAGTCAAGGTAGGTAGTGTCTCCAACGACACAAAGACACTGAAGCTGATAGAGTCAAGGTAGGTAGTGTCTTCAACGACACGAAGACACTGAAGCTGAAAGAAGCAAGGTATATAGTGTCTCCAACGACACAAAGACACTGAAGCTGATTGAAGCGATGTAGGTAGTGTCTTCAACGACACGAAGACGCTGAAGCTGATAGAAGCAAGGTAGGTAGTGTCTTCAACGACACAAAGACGCTATAGCTGATAGAAGCGATGTAGGTAGTGTCTTCAACGACACGAAGACGCTGAAGCTGATAGAGTCAAGGTAGGTAGTGTCTTCAACGACACGAAGACACTGAAGCTGATAGAAGCAAGGTATTTAGTGTATCCAACGACACAAAGACACTGAAGCTGATAGAAGCGATGTAGGTAGTGTCTTCAACGACACAAAGACGCTGAAGCTGATAGAAGCAAGGTAGGTAGTGTCTTCAACGACACAAAGACGCTATAGCTGATAGAAGCGAGGTAGGTAGTGTCTTCAACGACACGAAGACACGGAAGCTGATAGAAGCAAGGTAGGTAGTGTCTCCAACGACACAAAGACGCTGAAGCTGATATAAGCAAAGTAGGTAGTATCTTCAACGACACAAAGACGCTATAGCTGATAGAAGCGAGGTAGGTAGTGTCTTCAACGACACGAAGACACGGAAGCTGATAGAAGCAAGGTAGGTAGTGTCTTCAACGACACGAAGACGCTGAAGCTGATAGAAGCAAGTTAGGTAGTGTCTCCAACGACACGAAGACGCTGAAGCTGATAGAGTCAAGGTAGGTAGTGTCTTCAACGACACAAAGACACTGAAGCTGATAGAGTCAAGGTAGTAGTGTCTTCACCGCACGAAGACACTGGAGCTGATAGAAACAAGGTATTTAGTGTCTCCAACGACACGAAGGCACTGAAGCTGATAGAAGCGATGAAGGTAGTGTCTTCAACGACACGTAGACGCTGAAGCTGATAGAAGCAAGGTAGGTTGTGTCTTCAACGACACAAAGACGCTATAGCTGATAGAAGCGAGGTAGGTAGTGTCTTCAACGACACGAAGACGCTGAAGCTGATAGAAGCGATGTAGGTAGTGTCTTCAACGACACGAAGACACTGAAGCTGATAGAAGCAAGGTAGGTAGTGTCTCCAACGACACGAAGACGCTGAAGCTGATAGAAGCAAGGTAGGTAGTGTCTCCAACGACACAAACACGCTAAAGCTGATAGAAACAAGGTAGGTAGTGTCTCCAACGACACAAAGACACTAAAGCTGATAGAAACAAGGTAGGTAGTGTCTCCAACGACACAAACACGCTAAAGCTGATAGAAACAAGGTAGGTAGTGTCTTCAACGACACAAACACGCTAAAGCTGATAGAAACAAGGTAGGTAGTGTCTTCAAGGACGCGATGTCTGGGATGCGCGGGAATACGAAGCTACATCACCAGGTACAAGTCAATATAGTTGTCAAACACCAAATATAATATCAAAATGGCTTCATGAGTACCATTTTACACCATTCTTCTAGAAATGTCTTCTATGCTGCTTTGTTGAACGTTCCAGGTTTACAATCGTGACGGTTCGGCCAATTTAGCAAACGCTCACATCAGCTTTGCCTTCCTGAGGTTTCAACAGATTGAAACGTAAAAGCGAAATTTTAAAATTATACAATGTATAAGTGATTCAAAAGTCAAAGGTCAAAGATGTTTATTGTACAAAAGGCCTCCGGCCCATATACATACACATAAATTTGCACTAAATAGCAATTAGTGATCCAAGCAGCAAATCATGTTACAGGCAGTAAATTACGCACAAGTGGTGAAATACGATGGGTCTACAAAACTTTATATCAGATTGTTACGTTTAATAAGAGCATTTCTGATATAGTACGACAGCTTTATTATTACATGCTGGTCAGTTCATGAAAAAAGTAGTTTAATAGCTAATGAAGGTGGCTTACATAGATAAGATGCCAATGTAAATAGTCCCGTGTTTCACAGATCGGATTCAGTTACCTAATGTATAATATCGGTGACAATGTCAATGTATTATTGATCCACGTCCACATTATTAGACATGAGTGAGTTTTCAGCTAACAAGGAAAGCATGGCATAGAGGCATACTGAATCCACTTGCATAATTTGCGACGATTATAATTTTTCAATACATCAAGCTGCATTTTGCATAAACACATTATTTGTCGTTCTTTAGTGAGTTTTCAAAACTCTAGTATGTGTGAGGGGCGGTGGGGAGCCTAATGGTTAAAGCGTTGGCTCGTCACGCCAAAGGCCCGGGTTCGAATCCCCACATGGGTACAATATGTGAAGCCCATTTCTGGTGTCCCCCGCCGTGATGTTGCTGGAATATTGCTAAAAGCGGCGTAAAACCAAACTCAGTCAGTCAGTCTAGTATGAGTGAGGTTCAAATAAGATCCCAAGTCTAAATACAAGCATCAGAATCTTTTCCTGAGCACAGTCTGTTGTACGACGAGGTTAATTAATGTTTCAGCTGTGTGCACGCTGACGGGTACCCTGTCATCGCAGAGGCAGTCACCCCTGACCCATCCAACAGCAGGGAGTTCAATCTGAGGATACGAGCTTTCCATTTCGACGGAAATGACGAAGTGATCTTCTCCTTCCGGGTCAGAGTTTGTGTGGCGGCAGATAACTCGGCCTGTGACCCGGTAGGTGGCAACCTATAACTTAATTGTATATAACTCGTGTCGCCTTATTTTGTACATCTTTAAGCCATATCACTGACAACTGCATACGCATATGTATGGAGTTCTTGAACATGCCTTGACATCCAATACTGTTAACTTCATTTACCCTGGGGTGATGGGATAATCTTATGGTTAATTCAGCTCACAGAAGACCCGGGATCGATTCTTCACATGGACAGAATATGTGTACATTATAGGTATATGTTCTTTTTGCGTGAACTTGCGGGAATATTGCGAAAAGTGGCACGCGAATATATTCATTCACCAAGAGACTAACGCTTAGTCTCCGAAAATATATATAGTCTATTTGCAGTGAAAACGTACCGATGAATTTCACTTTAAACAAAAAAGTAAATCAAATAAAGTGAAATTAAGATTGCGAATCCTCATAAGTTTACCTTGCCAATTGAACATTTGAATCTCAGAATTTTATTCATCTTAGGATAAAAGTTGTTTAACAAACGATCATAGATTCAAATCACTATTATTAGTTTGTATTACAAGGGGGTAAGCGCAGTAGTTGGAACACTGAAACAAATGCACGTGCGGTACGTGATGAGCGTTAACTTAGACCAACCCTACTTGTTCTCGGTGTTTCATTTGATGTGCATACACCCTTGTAATACAAACCAATAATAACGATTTGAATCTATGATCGTTTGTGAAACAACTTTTATCCTAAGTTTAATAAAATTCTTATATTTAAATGTTCAGTTGGCAAGGTAAAATTATGAGGATTCTCAATCTTAATTTCACTTTATTCGATTTACTTTCTTGTATAAAGTGAAAATCATCGGTACGTTTTCACTGCAAACAGACTATAGTTTGACAGTAACAAATGATCCCATTCCGATTGAAAAGGAGCCTTAGTAAGATAGGAGATTCAGAACTTGAGGAAATCTCGACTTGTTTCATTTTGCGCTATGATTGTAGGGAGGCCTAGGCAGTAGGGACATAATGAGGCTGCGGATGACATATGTCTGACGTGAGACACACTAATATACCCATAGCATTCATAAATACTGAAAGGGCAATCTTAATGTTTGGGTGGAAAGGGACAATCTGAAATGCAAGTTGAAATAGTCTGACGCAGAGGAGCTGAAAGCAATTACAATTAATGATTAATTAGTTACACTTTGGGATTCACAACCGTTTCTTGTTGAAGTAAGGAGGGATGATTTTAAGAGCTTTAGCATTAGTTTTATTTGCTGTTTTAAATCTTGGCAATAAACGGTTTGCCGGTCATTCCAGTCCTTCCATGTGTAGAATGAAAAGTTGGAAATATTTATTTAGGTTTGAAATGACAGAATATCAGGTTTGGATATGTTGGCCAATTAGGATATTAAATATTCTACATGTATATCTCAGGCAACCTGCACAGCACCTGACGGTGGTTACGGGAGAAGGAAGAGAGATGTCGGGAATGATGTGCAGCTCTACAAGGCAGTGAAGATCCGCAGTGGGGGAGGAACTCAATCTAATGGTAATTCCAGGAATAATTGGGGCGGTGGGGTAGCCTAATGGTTAAAGCGTTGGCTCGTCACGCCGAAGACCCGGGTTCGAATCCCCACATGGGCACAATATGTGAAGCCCATTTCTGGTGTCCCCCGCCGTGATGTTGCTGGAATATTGCTAAAAGCGGCGCAAAACCAAACTCAGTCAGCCAGTCAAGGAATAATTTCCACAAAGATACAATCCCACGGTCATTCAATAGAGTTCTGTTGAACATTCCATGCTCAAGAGTTCTGTTGAACCCATGCTTAAGATACCGTAACACGTCATAATGTTTAAAACTCAGAGACATCTAGCATGTAAAACATGTCTACTTTTAAACACGAAATAATGCTGAAAATCACCCATTTTTATTATAATTACGACTATTATCAAGCGTAGGTCAACAACCGCACATAAACACACAATTATTCCCCGTTTGTGTTGTATCATTAGTAAATCATTTGATACTATTTCCTGACAATAAAACATATATCTCGAAACGGAACAGCAAAACAATAATTTTAAATTATGATTTTCCACCAAAAAAGTTCTTTAAGAAACTATCATTAAAATTTTGACACAGTTCACTAATTGAGGGAGGAGTGCAGAGAAAGGGATTAGCCAGGTGCACAGGAAAGGATAGAACGGCACAGCACAGGCTAAGGAATCAATAACTTGGTGGGCACTTGTGCACGTTGCTTCTCTAACACCTGGCTGTCCCCTCTGCACTCCTCCCTCGTAACAAATAGTGAACTGTGTCAAATCTAACGATAGTTACAAAGACAGATGGAGTCCGGAAAATGTTCAAATGCATAAAAAAGGTGTTGGGTATTAGTAAATGACAAACATGTGTACTATTTATATTTATGTGGTAATTTTGTACAATGATAAAATTTACAATTCACCGGGTCCACATGCATTTCATGCCAAACTATAAGTATGACTGACTTCTTGATGTTGCTAAAGTATAATGACCATCCATAACTTCTCCACAGACAACGCCATCCCCAAACCAAATACCATCCCTGGAGTTACATCCACGGGCTGTGAGACATCGTGGGAGATGACAGCAACTCTCATCGCCATGGCGGTGGCCATCTTCTTCCTCATCGTCCTCGCTGTCACACTCATCATCATCGTTGTCATGTTTCGACATCATCGTCGCAAAAGGGAGGCCAAGATCGATGTGTACGTCGACCCTTTCAGCGTCGAGAAGCACCGGTGATTCTTCAGCAACCATCAACCAAAAATATGCATGATTCCTGTACGTAGAATACATACACAAGGGCATACGCTATTCCAGATAATGTACACCTTGTGGTTCAGAATACCTTATCCAGTTTCGTCCTTATTATGAAGTTAGGTGCAAGGTTTGATTTTGTCGATGGCAAAATCTCACCTTTGTCCTTGTACTTGTCACCTGTATGTGTTGATGATATAACTAGAATGAGTGAGTGAGTGAATGTTGTATGACGCCGCAGATAGGAATTTCGAGCCGAATCAGTCAACTGATCAACTGATTCAACTGAAAATATCTAGACAGATAACATATGATGAAAACATAGTGACGATGGAGATAGATTGGCTTTATTTCCTCCAGATATGAAGATTACAAGCATTTAAACATCACATGATATTTACAGACAAGTGAATATATGAATGCATCAGAAAGTTAATGAAACAGGAAATTGCATTTACTGACAAAATCAGCCACAGTATAACATTATTTGGAACCAGGTATCAAAGTGAATCTCTTCTGTACAGTCTGGGAATCCACAAAGGAAGAATGAGATGATGAGTCGTCATCTTTTGACCATAAGTCAGCAAAGCATTTGACATCCATCAGGTCAAATACTTTTTGATACAGTTCGTCTCTCTCTGACATGTTCTTGGAACATTATATGCAAACATGGTTCACAAGGTCATAAACAACTGTACCACATGCACATTCTCTCGATTCTAGTGGTTTGATTCACTAGTATTATTTAGAAACTTAAATATTTGTTTTAACTGAACGACTATATTGATGATGTGTTGATGATAGTTATTGTATTGCATGAAACGTGCTTGTATAACTATGTAATGCTTATGAATAAACTTCATTGTAGTGTATCAGTATAATGCTATACAGGCTATAGTAATATGTTATGTGTTTACACATGTACCATTAACTTCATGAGATGCATGATGATTTTCAATAAAACCTTTCAATAAAACCGTTGTGCTACATGTTTTACGTGAATATTTTTCTCACATAGATAGTTAGCATTGTGTGTGGGAGATCATCAGAGATGATGAATGAATATACAATATACTATTAACGAGTGTCGTGTCTGCAGCACGTGTCTTCGCAGGGAAATTTAAATATTCATCTTCAGTTAAAGGAGTCGGTGGTTGTGGGGGTGAGGCTGTACATTTACTTTTAGTTTTTGGGTGCGGGTGCTGGGTATTGGGGCAGGAGTGGTTCACAGTAGCACTTGACAAAGTGAACAAAGTGTCATAACACTTTTGTTAAAGAGATTGATTTTGTTGTTCAATTTCTTAATGCAGTTGGTTAGTTGTCTGTTTAACGCCGCACTCAACAATATTCCAGCTATTATGGCGGCGGTCTGTAAATAATCGAGTTTGGACCAGACAATTCAATGATCAATATCATGATCATCGATCTACGCAACTTGGATACGATGACATGTGTCAACCAAGCCAGCGAGCCTGACCACCCGATCCCGTTAGTCGCCTCTTACGACAAGCATGGGTTACTGAAGACCAATTCTTAATAGACATTAAGGGCATAGCTTCGCACCGTTGACCAAAATGTAAATGCAATATACATGATTGTTTTATTGTGCATTAGTGAGTTGGTTGCCTCTTAAAGAAAGAATAAACCATAGTACGAAATACATGTTTTGATTACTAAACCGCATAGGTAAGTAATGTTTATATAAACAAATTATAGCAAAAAAGTAGGGAACCCGAACTTACAATAAGCGTTAACAAACATTTCAAAGACAGACATCTTATGAACGCACCACCATTTCTCTTCATCACTACCCCTAAACACAACGCATCGGATGCACGTTCTCAACGCAGAAGCCCCATACACGTGTATGTGGTGTCATTCTTGATTTTGACGATTTTCAAGAAGGTCAATAGATCACTGTAGACCATTAATTTTAACAATCATCTTGCATCACACAGTTGTGAGTTTTGTTTCAAGCCTGGTTGTTTTTTGTTTGAAAATGAAAATCGTACACATGCAAATTTTACGCCATACACCAATCATCTTTCAAGAGCTATAACTGTACAAACAACTATGGTCAAAAGTATGTGCAAGTGGCGATGAACTCTCAAAACATATTACCATATCATTGATTGACACAGATATATTTCGGAGTCCAATTTCTTCAGTCGTAAACTGAAAATGAGTGAGTGAGGTTAGTTTTACGCCGCTTTTAGCAATATTCCAGCTATATCACGGCAGGGGACACCGGAAATGGGCTTCACATATTGTTGGGAATCGAACCCGGGTCTTCGGCGTGACGAACGAACGCTTTAACCACTACGCTACCCCACCGCCCCCTGAAAATGAAGTTCACCTACTGTGTTTGAAGAGACTAGTTTAGGTGAATGATAAATGTGCTGGGGTTGAGCTCGTAATGCATTATACTTCCGTGTCCCTGAAAAGCACATGCAGCACATGAACTACTCAGGGAAGGTGTTTCACGTGCACCACGGAGGATTGACTCACGTGATGTCCTCACAGATGAGAATACAGCTCTTGAATATCTTTTGAAATACCGTTGTCAAACCTACAGTCCGTTTGAGTCAGAAACGGACCGATGAATTGAAAATTTTATCATTGTACAAAATTGCCACAGAAATATAAATAGTACACATGTTTATCATTCACTAATACCCATCAGCTTTCTTATATTTGAAATTTTTCCGGACTAAAAAGTTCTTTAAGAAACTGTCATTAAAATTTTGACACAGTTCACTATTTGTTACGAGGGTGGAGTGCAGAGAAAGGGACAGCCAGGTGTGCGAGAAAGGATGGAGACGGCACAGCACAGGTTAATGAATAAATAACTTTGTCTGTGAACGTGCTTCTCGAACACCTGGCTGTCCCTTTCTCTGCACTCCTCCCTCGTAACAAACAGTGAACTGTGTCAATATTTTAATGATAGTTTGTTAAACAACTTTATTATTTTTAGGACAAAAATTCTGCAAAAACCTCACAGAGTGGGTATGATGTTTTGATTATGATCAGCGTTTCATTGAGTATGTTATGTTTATTAGTTTTCGAGTTAGATTGCAATTCATCGGTCCGCTTTTGAGCCAAACGGACTGTAACGACCCTCTACATATTTATGGTTAATGCATATCATCCATCCATCACTATATAGTTTATATCTTATATTAGTTTGTATTTAGTTGTGTCGGAGCAATTACTAGTTTACAATTACACTCGGTCTTATCGTTGTCCGGTTAATCTAAATTAACAACCGATCCCAATTTTCATTAGTTCTCAATGAAATTCGAAGGGTACGAAGGTTTTTTCCAACCCGGAGTCCAGACAAGTATTTCATATAGTTTACACATTGTTAAAAACATGATCATGAAACACATATTTGTATGTAAATTAAATCTTTAATCCAAACTTTAACGGTGTAGAATAACAATATGATATCTTTGAGGTCCTTAATTGAATTAAAAAACTAACAAACACTATTTTTTTTTAAGGGTAGATATATTGTTCCACACACAACAGAACAAATACCAAACCGTATTACGTTCCGAAACATACAAAGCAAGTATTTTCAGAACTTAAATAGTTAAGGTAACAAATATGCCCTTGGGCCAAAAATGGTAATACATTGATGGAAAACAAAAATGTCATTGAGTAACACCGAACGATAGATGTAATATCACTAAATCCACAAAGTCATCATGCTGAAGTTCTTGACAAACACTCAATCAACTCCGCAGCACATACATACCGAGGTTATTTTTTGTGTGAGTGAGTGAGTGAGTTTGGTTATGCAATATTCCAGCAATATCACGACGGGGGACACCAGAAATGAGCTTCACACAATGTACCCATGTGGGGAATCGAACCCGGGTCTTCGGCGTGACGAGCGAACGCTTTAACCACTAGGCTACCCTACCGCCCCAGGTTATTTTTTGACTACGAACGATCATGATCTGTCAGAATTTCTGCTTCATGGTCAATGTGGTCGACCGTTGCGTTATGCTCTGTTTGTTTGTTTGTTTGTTTGTTTGTTTGTTTGTTTAACGCTGCTCTCAGTACTATTCCAGCTATATGGCGGTAGTCTGTAAATAATGGAGTCTGGTCCAGACAATCCAGTGATGAACAGCATGAGCATCGATCTACGTAGCTTGGATACTATGACATTTATCAACCATGTCAACAAGCCTGACTACCGACTTTTGAGGGAAATATATATGACGCGCTTTGAACTCTTGATGAGATCATGATCGATCGTACCAAGGAAAACCTGGGAATGAAACAGTCAAGGTAACAACAAGTACCATCTGGTATGTGTTTCGGCATGACAAAGACTGGATCGCCCTTTAGACCTTCCGGGTCAACCAGGTCAGCAAGCCTGACCACCGAGCCCATTAGACGCCTTACGAAAGGTATGGTTTGTTTAGGTCAGTTCTAAAATGGATTTTCAAGTGTCGTTTTAGTTGTACAAGCACGCAAATCCAGTTTGGATTATGATATACATAATTTATACAATACAAAAAAGGATTGTGATATACATAATTTATACAATACAAAAAAGGATTGTGATATACATAATTTATACAAAACAAAAAAGGTCAGAAAGTATCAAGTCTAACCACACCGCTCGACTGTCAACCATCAGTGCACTTATACAAGATACAATACAATTGTTTCCATTTGTTCATTTAAACAAAATTTAAAGGATATATTTTGTCAACAATGGCACTGTGATACTTCTTCATCACTCTATCTCAGTAATTATCGTAAAGTGAAACCTTTGTTTCAAACGGAAGGATATTTAACCGGTTTAATCGATAAGTGTTTAGTTAGAGCTTATTGTAAATTCAGAATAACTCTGCATAATTTTAATGCAAATGTTTGTCGCAGGTCCAAAAATAGTGATATCATTGTGATTTAAGAGAAGAAGAGGCCGAATGTCATGTATTATTAATATGTAAAAATATTCTTATTTAAGGTATAAATTTCTCCCACCGCCAGCTAATGATAAATCTTTTAAACTCTGATAATTCAGATCTGATCCGTGCTGTTGCTGTATTTTTCAGAAATGTGTTTGCATTTCGAAATGTGTAAACAGTCATCAAATTTCAATATGTTAATTTGGTACTGGCGTTTGTACCAGGAGCCTTGAACCTGGAGTACTGAAAATCAACTGCCTGAATGTCTGTCTGTCTAATACAACATACACTTTAACCTTGCATGTGTCTTCCTTGTACAGGCGAAACTATTAAAGTACTGTAACACATTTGTAAGAAGGCTTTTGTAATATCTAGTTTAAGTAAATAAAACATGTGCCATTACAGTTGGACGACCACATACTTGTTTCAACAAAAAGAATTTCAATTTCATTTCATATATATGTTAGTGTGTACATTGTACATTTCCAGCCAATGGATATTGTCAACAATGTGAAAATGCCCCTATAAAATGGGCAAGAGAACACATGCTTGTGCAGTCGTTGTTTTCCTAGATAACAGACAATGTTTTATCTCCATCTGAAATAGGTGAGTCCTTTGATTAATATTTTGCATGTCTCCCCAGGACACACTTGTAGCCTTGTTCCCTTGTACCTATGCTTTCATTACTTGGGTAGCTCGCAGTAATATAACTCGGTTAAACTCAACATTGTAATGTTTATAACTTTAGCTCTAAACTACGATAGTTGACGAAATCTCAGGTTTACTTTGAGTACCAACAATATGTGAGCCTGGATCTTTGTCTCTTTTAAATGCTGCACTTCTTACCTTTTAATAAAATGTGGTGCTATTAGGTAAAGAGGGGCGTGCTTAAACCTTCCCGACAACGCGGTTTCAACAACGTTTGTCAGTTATCCATTCACGTATATTTTAAAATCTTTTTACCGTTTTCATCCAATGGAATATATTTTGGCCGATATTAGAGACTGATATTTCTTTCGTTGACGTTTGAATTTGCATATCAGAAACTGGGATATCTGTTTTTATCTACTCAGAAACCAAGCATTACTATGTTATGTTTGATGTACGAGAATCCTGAAATTACTCGCTCAGTCTATATTACTTCAGGCCATTCATTTATAGCTGTTATACAACCCATGATGGATCTATACATTTACATCTATATATTTGTCTTACTTCTTAACACATTTCATTATGCTTTGCTGTTTCATTACGATTTATCTTAAATCCACGCCAGAGTATATGCTCAACAAACTATTATAAATCCACAATTAATCTTCAGCATTAAATTCGTTAGATGTAATGAATGCGTATTCGAAATGTGCCGAAAACACTGTTGTCTCGAAATGAAACCTTGAATTGTCAACTGCGTATTCCTTCTTTATGCATCACAGGGGTTCAAAAACCCCATCGCCCGACGCCCGGGACAAGTCAGTTTTCATTTCGGGCAATCAAATAATGGTATCTTACTTGTCCGTGGGCTACTAGATAATTTCCACTTATTGTTTCAAACTGCAAATAAACTTTGTTTTAATTTCATATCTGCTCAAAATGTAGCTATTAAATTTCGCAATGATAATAAAGTAGAGTATTCTTTCTTTGCTATTTATCACTTTTCAATAAATAGTCCAGTAAACATTAACATCACATACCATGTTGATTTCTTCTTTCATAATTACATCATCATAATTATGTCATAAAATCAGGGCAAGTCAAAATTAGTCACGACAAGTTACTTTCTTAAAGTCACTTGCCCTGTGGCAAGTGGCTTTTTAAAAAACATTGAACCCCTGCATCGTTTTGGGCCTATATCGAAACCAGTAAAATTCAAATAAATGAAGACGAGTACCACATCGAGTAATATGCCCCTCAGTTACGTGAAAATTATATACCCACAAAGTATTACTTATTGTCTTCTAAATCTTAGTTTAAAGGCAACAACGCAACAAACGATTGTACCATAATAAAGAATCTTGCAATGCAAATTTATCATGCAATGCCAATCCGTAGAACACTAACTTGAATGTCAACATTTGATCGAAGTATAACAACTGTCTATGACATGTATGTACACATATGTAGTTTTCGGCCGATGGCCCACACTGATGTAATAAAGACTTGAATTGAATTAACTCAAATATTTGATTTAGTCCCTTCAACTTCGACACAACAGTGTTTGATTGTATTTTGTTTCTTTAAAGATCGGGACATTTAATTAATGCATTTATATTTTTGGCTGGCATCCATCGTTTCCAGAGATAAATATGTTTTTGATGCTCTAGGCGCCAGGATGAGCAGTCTTACTGTGTTGGTTCTGACATTATCCCTCGGCCTTGGTGAGTACCGTTAGTGACCCGTGAAGATCTGGGTTACAATTGATCTTCAGTAACCCATGCTTGTCATAAGAGGCGACTAACGGGATCGGGTGGTCAGGCTCACTGACTTGGTTGACACATGTCATCGTATCCCAATTCCGTACATCGATGTTGATCACTGGATTGTCTGGTCCAGACTCGATTATTTACATACCGTAGCCACATAGCTGGAATATTGCTGAGTGCGGCGTAAAACAGCAGACCAACGAGTGTCGTTAGTACCTTGGCACCTGTATGTATGGTGTCTTCTTACTGACCATTGTATTACAGTAGAAATGCAAGTTCCTTTGACTGATTTCTTACATTTATCAAATATTTCGACTTGGCAGCGCTTCCCGGCATAATTCTTGAGCTAATGATAAGTTCAACCAACCAGACTGTCCCAGGACTACACAACCTCTCCCTGCTGCATTATTTCTAATCTGTAAAGAATAAATAGTATTGTGTGCCATTTACTGTACCCTCCAGCTTATGCCACGTTTGACTGTCGACGTCCTAACCAGGATTGTCTGAACAGCGGGACCTGCACCTTCACTTCAGCAGACTGCATCTGTACCTCAGCATATAGTGGATATGACTGCGGCCTTGAATTAGGTGAGTGAGTTTAGTTTTACGCCGCTTTTAGCAATATTCCTGTAATATCACGGCGATGAACACCCGAAATGGGCTTCACACATTGTACCCATGTGCATGTACGCATGTATGTATGTATGTATGTATGTATGTATGTATGTATGTATGTATGTATGTATGTATGTATGTATGTATGTATTGTTACGGTTAAATAATTGCCGTGACAAAAGGTTTAAGAATCCCCTTTGAACCAGTAAAATATAACACAGACAAGTCTAAGATATTCAATAATATATTGAGCAAACAATGAGCAAGATACAATGAATCACAATACAGATTTCTAGTACCGTGCAATTGAGTCACAAATCTAAAGTAATGGGTCACAAATATGAAATATTAACTCACCAGAGTCTTGGCATTATTCTAACTGATGGTAGTTTACAATGAGAGCATTCAGGCTCGCACTGTCAATCTTGAATGTAGGTCAGACGATGACAGACGGACGAGGACGGTAGGCAGGTGACGGCAGAAAGACGCACACAACTCCAGAGATATGCAAAGTCACGTGTAATTCCGTGTGTAAGTCCGCACAACAACCAGCCTTTATATATACTGACACAGATTCTTGAACATTCTTTATCCACTCAAAACTTTCCCGAAATCTGTGGAAAACTCAACGACATGCCGTAAACAACACATAAACAACCGGTCAAGGGAGGTAACTCTGGAGCGTACCCCAAAAAGGCGTGCCGCTAAAATACTATTGCCATATATGACGCGAAATGCAACCCACAACCCACACTCAAAACTTAAACATTGTGACTCATAATTATTATCAACTAATCAATGTTATTACAAATTACAAAAAAACACACTCTCGTAACACTCTCCCTCTTAAGGAAAAGAAAGTTTCACAGAAACGTTCTGTTACAATCATAGCAAGATAACTAACATAATAAGATGACATGTAATGATATGAATAACATGAGAAACATCTTGCAGAATTACTATGATATAATGCAGATACAGACATACAGCATCATCAAGTCATTATACATTTACAATCTGGAAAGTGCATCAGCACAAACATTGTCTTTGCCTTTAATGTGTCTAATCACAAGATTGAACCCTTGCAAGGTCAAACTCCACCTCATAAGTCTTTGATTCTTGTTCTTCATTTTATGAAGAAATGTCAAGGGATTGTGATGTATGTATGTATGTATGTATGTATGTATGTATGTATGTATGTATGTATGTATGTATGTATGTATGTATGTATGTATGTATGTATGTATGTATGTATGTATCTTGACTGGTGAAGGAAAAGAATGTGAATAACATTAGAATCAAGAACACGTTTTTCTTTTGCCAGATACCGTTGACAAGCTCAGCTGTACTAGTACTACATGTGTCAATGGAGGCACCTGCTACGACGACGGCACCGGAGCCAAATGCTACTGCGACAGCGAACACTACAGCGTCAGCTGCGAAAAAGATCGATGTAAGCAAGCGGTTACATATATTGTACCTTAATGTAACTATTATTGCTAAAGCAGGACAAACCCGTGAAGATCCGGGTTAGAACTGGTCTCCACTAACCCATGCTTGTCGTAAGAGGCGATTAACGGGATCAGGTGAGGCTTGGAGACTTGGTTGACACATGTCATCGTATCCCAATTGTGTTGGTCGATGCTCATGCTGTTGATCACTGGATTGTCTCTGGTCCACTGTCGATTAATTAATATAGCTGGAATATTGAGGCGATTAACGGGATCGGGTGAGGCTTGGAGACTTGGTTGACACATGTCATCGTATCCCAATTGTGTTGGTCGATGCTCATGCTGTTGATCACTGGATTGTCTCTGGTCCACTGTCGATTAATTAATATAGCTGGAATATTGAGGCGATTAACGGGATCGGGTGAGGCTTGGAGACTTGGTTGACACATGTCGTCGTATCCCAATTGTGTTGGTCGATGCTCATGCTGTTGATCACTGGATTGTCTCTGGTCCACTGTCGATTAATTAATATAGCTGGAATATTGAGGCGATTAACGGATCGGGTGAGGCGATTAACATGTCGTCGTATCCCAATTGTGTTGGTCGATGCTCATGGATCACTGTCGATTAATTAATATAGCTGGGATTAACGGGATCGGGTGAGGCTTGGAGACTTGGTTGACACATGTCATCGTATCCCAACTGTGTTGGTCGATGCTCATGCTGTTGATCACTGGATTGTCTCTGGTCCACTGTCGATTAATATATAGCTGGAATATTGAGGCGATTAACGGGATCGGGTGAGGCTTGGAGACTTGGTTGACACATGTCATCGTATCCCAATTGTGTTGGTCGATGCTCATGCTGTTGATCACTGGATTGTCTCTGGTCCACTGTCGATTAATTAATATAGCTGGAATATTGAGGCGATTAA